TGTTGCCTGCTGTTTTTCCTCCCGGTTCCTGTGTTTTTGACCTTTGACTATTAAAGTCCTTTTGTTTCCTGCAAGTCTGCATCTGAGTCCTGCCTTCCACCCGCACCCCTGACAATGAGCAGGTCAATGCCAGAATCTATTTCATGAATCTTGACGTCCTTCAAGTAAGGCCATTGAATCAGGTCTTCTTGTCTGGGAATGTTGAGCTTGGAAACGGGCATGATCTTGTGTGTAAATACATTGGGCAGTTGTATGAAATCAGTTTTGTCCAGACTTGATATCTCTAAACCTGGGATATGATGACTAGTCACAGGTTTTACTTGGTTCATTCTACGCAAAAGAATACTAGTCTTTTGTCCTGTTACATTCAGTCTTCTCATCAGGCGTTCTGTGCAGAAGGTGGCTGAGCTTCCATGGTCCAAAAACGCATACGTCTGCAACAGTCTCCCTTGGGGGTCTTTACTTGTACTGGAACAATAGAGAAGAGACAGGCTTCTTCACCGGCCCCAATATGCCCACATGTATGAGGTGAGAGAACAGCATTGCTCCCAATTGATTTTCCATCCAATTCTGTTTTCCTTCCTATGTCTCTTTATTCAATATGAAGTATTTCAGGATGATTTTTGTTGCAGATGTCACAAGTCAAACAACTATCGCAGTCTTTGCTCATGTGTCCTACCTTCAAACAGCCAAAACAGACTCCCCTTTTCTTTAAGAAGTCGATTTTTTCCCTGTGCATCTTTTTCCTGGTTTGTCGACACCGCACCAATGTGTGACCATCTCTCTCACAGAACAAACAGGAATTTTGAGGGTTAGTGACGGATACATTTTTCATTCCACTTGTCATTTTTTCTTGTATTGGCATTTCCACAGGTGTTGCAGTAGTTGCAAAACTGCTTCCTCTTGGTCTCGGCCTCTCTCTTGCTGTGACATCCTGGATGTTCCCAAAAAGTGGATCCGACAATATCTTCACTTGTCTCTCCATGAAGTCTACGAAGTCAGAGAAACTAGCTCGACGTCCATGTTGTTCCTGGATCTGACATGCCCTATTCCTCCACTTGTCTCTGAGCTTGTAAAGTTTCAGAAGAATGGTCTTCATGCTGGAAGCGAAGTTCAACTCCTCCATATAGGTGAGCTGTTCCATTGCATTGCAACAACCTCTCAGGAATAATGAAAACGCTCGCAATGCTTTCACGTCCTCTGGCTTGATCGCTGGCCAGGCAAATGCTTTGTCCATGTATGCTGTAGCAAACTCATGTTCGCTACCAAAATGTTCTTTAAGCAGCTCTTTTGCTCTTTTATAGCCCTCAGCCGAAGACAAATGTTGACAGCTGTGGACTAAATCCTTTGGATACCCTCTGGTATATTGCTCTAGGAAATGCAGGCAGTCGCTGTAGTCATCAGTCTTTCTTTCCACTCCTCTCTCGAATGCCCTGATGAAAACTCCATATTGCAAGGGATCCCATCATAAACGGGAATGTCTCTGGGTGGTAAGGTAGAAGAGAGATTGTGTTGAGCTAGAAGAGTGGTTATGTCACTTTGCTTCTGAATGATGTGATAGATATCACCTTGATTATGATCATTATATCCAGGTTGTGTTAGAGGAGTCATATCCTGAGCTCTAACAGATGGTCCATCAGCGCTTTCCTTTGGCTGAACAACCTGTTGCTGGGAAGAAGATTCTGTTCCCGTCCGCACATTCAGTCTTTGTTGCACTTGATCGGGTAAATAGGTGTTTGCATGTGGATTCTCTTTGACTGACCTTTTCCTTTGAACAGTTAATTTTTCAAAATAAAAATTCTCTTATAAATAAGATTATCTTTACAGATGGCAACAAGACGTTGGGACCGTTGTAATCTGTGATTTAATGACGTTACACAGTGAATATTAGTTAACGATGTTACACGGTGAATAGTAGTTAATGACGTTACACGGTGAATAGTAGTTAATGACGTTACACGGTGAATAGTAGTTAATGATGTTACACGGCGAATAGTAGTTAATGATGTTACACGGCGAATAGTAGTTAATGACGTTACACAGTGAATAGTAGTTAATGACGTTACACAGTGAATAGTAGTTAATGACGTTACACAGTGAATAGTAGTTAATGATGTTACACAGTGAATAGTAGTTAATGATGTTACACAGTGAATAGTAGTTAATGAAGTTACACAGTAAATAGTAGTTAATGATGTTACACAGTGAATAGTAGTTAATGACGTTACACATTGAATAGTAGTTAATGAAGTTACACAGTAAATAGTAGTTAATGAAGTTACACAGTAAATAGTAGTTAATGATGTTACACAGTGAATAGTAGTTAATGATGTTACACAGTAAATAGTAGTTAATGATGTTACACAGTGAATAGTAGTTAATGATGTTACACAGTAAATAGTAGTTAATGATGTTACACAGTGAATGGTAGTTAATGAAGTTACACAGTAAATAGTAGTTAATGATGTTACACAGTGAATAGTAGTTAATGATGTTACACAGTAAATAGTAGTTAATGATGTTACACAGTGAATGGTAGTTAATGAAGTTACACAGTAAATAGTAGTTAATGATGTTACACAGTGAATAGTAGTTAATGACGTTACACAGTGAATAGTAGTTAATGATGTTACACAGTGAATAGTAGTTAATGACGTTACACATTGAATAGTAGTTAATGATGTTACACATTGAATAGTAGTTAATGAAGTTACACAGTAAATAGTAGTTAATGATGTTACACAGTGAATAGTAGTTAATGAAGTTACACAGTAAATAGTAGTTAATGACGTTACACAGTGAATAGTAGTTAATGACGTTACACATTGAATAGTAGTTAATGAAGTTACACAGTAAATAGTAGTTAATGAAGTTACACAGTGAATAGTAGTTAATGATGTTACACAGTGAATAGTAGTTAATGATGTTACACAGTGAATAGTAGTTAATGAAGTTACACAGTAAATAGTAGTTAATGAAGTTACACAGTGAATAGTAGTTAATGATGTTACACAGTGAATGGTAGTTAATGATGTTACACAGTAAATAGTAGTTAATGATGTTACACAGTGAATGGTAGTTAATGAAGTTACACAGTAAATAGTAGTTAATGATGTTACACAGTGAATAGTAGTTAATGACGTTACACAGTGAATAGTAGTTAATGATGTTACACAGTGAATAGTAGTTAATGACGTTACACATTGAATAGTAGTTAATGATGTTACACATTGAATAGTAGTTAATGAAGTTACACAGTAAATAGTAGTTAATGATGTTACACAGTGAATAGTAGTTAATGAAGTTACACAGTAAATAGTAGTTAATGACGTTACACAGTGAATAGTAGTTAATGACGTTACACATTGAATAGTAGTTAATGAAGTTACACAGTAAATAGTAGTTAATGAAGTTACACAGTAAATAGTAGTTAATGATGTTACACAGTGAATAGTAGTTAATGATGTTACACAGTGAATAGTAGTTAATGATGTTACACAGTGAATAGTAGTTAATGAAGTTACACAGTAAATAGTAGTTAATGAAGTTACACAGTAAATAGTAGTTAATGATGTTACACAGTGAATGGTAGTTAATGAAGTTACACAGTAAATAGTAGTTAATGAAGTTACACAGTAAATAGTAGTTAATGAAGTTACACAGTAAATAGTAGTTAATGAAGTTACACAGTAAATAGTAGTTAATGATGTTACACAGTGAATGGTAGTTAATGACGTTACACAGTGAATGGTAGTTAATGACGTTACACAGTGAATGGTAGTTAATGACGTTACACAGTGAATGGTAGTTAATGATGTTACACAGTGAATAGTAGTTAATGATGTTACACAGTGAATGGTAGTTAATGACGTTACACAGTGAATAGTAGTTAATGATGTTACACAGTGAATAGTAGTTCACTTCAGGGTCCTGGACGTAGGGCTGTGCGGTAAGGTGTAGCTTGTTGTAGCTGGTAGTGTTGCCACCAGAGGCTTTGCAAGAAATCGTTTTCTGATCGAACTTACGTCGGATTTTCCAAAAGAGCCTCCAAACCGACTCAGCTCCTCTCTTGGGCACAAGTTGCGTTGGTGCATCTCTGGTCTCTCCTTGTTTCTCCTTTATCGCTCTGAACGCTTCAGCGTGCATCTCGACTATTAGGCCTTCAGACATCCAGGCGACCTGAAATCGGACTAAGTATCTTCTCTTTAAACCAAGCTAGTCTGCTAAATGTGTTGTTGATTCTACTGTTTTAAGATAACTTGATTGCTAGCTTGCTTTAGCTTTTGCCGTTTCTTAGTGCCAGTGAAGCAAAAGAGACTGAATCCTTAAACTATGGCGGCAAATCACTGTCAAAATTCGAGAGCGCAAATCGGGTTGATGCTCGCGCGTAAATCAAACATCCGTGAGCAAATCTCCGTCTCGCACTCGAAGGTGTTTTTTACGCGCTCGCTGTTGTTCTTTTTGACAGTAAGGGGGCGGAGCCCGTCACCATGGTCTCTACATTTAATTGGTTACAAACCCCGTGTGTTCGATTTATCAAATGGAACATTGGTTTCAGTTCCATTTGTCAGAATATCTCCATAACAACATCCTTTTAAATGCAGGTTTGCAGTTTTTTATATTATTATTATTATCTTTTCATTGCTCTTGCACTGGGAGGGATTTTTTTTTACGCCTCGCTTGTCATCAGTTACACACCAACAGGTATCATGTCATTCAATTCCTTAATCACATTTGGTGGAAATTTAGGTCATAAGTTGACTCAAATACAGCAACCACGCATCATAATATCAGACATTTCTATTAATTAGCTATAACATTTTACAGCCACGTGTATTTGTTCATTCATTCGTAGTATGTGTTATCTGTATGTACGTTTTGATGATGTTTTTTCAACTCATTCAATCACGTGAGTAACATCGCATTGCGCTGCCGTGCAGCAGGTGGCAGCAAACACCTCTAACACTTGTTTACCAACCTTCAACAGCGAAACAGGAAGAAGACGATGCAGCAGAAGCAGAAGAAGAAGAAGAACAGGTTGCAGCGTAATCATGGCCACGGCTGACAGCGGGACGAAGCCGCTTCAAAGTGCCATGAAAATGGCCAAAGTGGCAATACAGTTGGACGGAGAGAACAAGCACAAGGTAGCGAGCTGCTGCCCGGCGGCTACGCAGCACGAGAGCGCCGCCGGCGGGAGGGTTTAACCGGGCGGGATGCCGGTCTGTGGCGACGTAAACAGACGGAGGGGGCGGGAACCGTTAGCATGTTAGCCGCCGTTAGCTAACGATAGCTAGCTGTGGCTAACCCGTCACCGAACGCTCACGTTATGTTTTAATGGAGTTGGGGCGGCAGAGAGCCGTTTAAAACCATCTTGTTGCTAAATGTGTCCCCTTCTCGCTTCATTTTTCATAAATAGTTTGTGATAGTTAATGTCATGAAGGAAGAAGTAACGTTAATTTACGTATCATTTAGCATTCTATAAACATTGTCATTAACTTTCGTAATATGTTACATTTTATTAGATAGCGCGACACAATAAGCTGTTACATTGTTTTACCGGAGCCAGTGTTCACATGTCACCATTATGTCTTATGTGACAGCAAGTATGCAGAATGAACCTGTTGTGTGTCAATAACAGGAGAGACATTTCATTCGTCTCTATCAAATCACCTGAAATGTTGAATGCAGTGTATGAAAATCTGCTTCGGTCAGATTTAATTTACTACTGTCGATTTGATGTATTTATTTATTCGTAAACCATGTGCTGTTTCAGCTCGACTGATGTCGAACGTACCAACAGGGGAGGATGCTGTTTGTATTCTCCAGTGTTATATATTATTGTATTATTACATCTAGCACAGAGATAATAATACGGTAATATGGTCTCTCTGCAGGAGGCTTACTGTGAATACCTCCGGACGATAAACTACATCTCACATTCACTGTTGGAGGAAGCTGCTTCGCAAGGTAAGATCAGAGCATCGACGTAACTGACTAGAGAAGTTTATGATGAATATCTAACCGCGTGTTCAATTTCCCTTGAGTGTGTTTACTGGATTTTGCAGACTTTTTTTAATGATTTTTATTTTCTTACAAGGTGCGTTTCATATTTGTTTGTGTTTCTAACCTTTAGCACCATCTGCCCCAAATAGTCCTTAACGGCTCCTTCGTCTGTCGGTGTTTCCTCTCAGTTTCTACCTGCCCACAATCCAACTGCCAACATGAACAAAGAAGGTTGCATTTAATTGGACTGGGTCTGGGAATAAAAGCATGATTTCAGATTACTCCAAAGACTTGTGAAGGCCTTCTGCCACACGTGTAACAGTTGACCCGTCCTCATTGTGAGCTTACATGTAAGGACTGTTACCTCAGTACACATCTGCTGGCTGTCCTATTGATTTGGCTTTTTACTTGCATGAGCAGATATTCAAGATATTTCACAATCGTGGCTGACCCTGTTCGCAGCAGTAGACCGATATCAATAATTCTCAGGCTGCTTCTAAGCTACAGTGTAATGCTGCTTAGAGTACTGCGGGGAAGACGTCCCGATCCCAATGTCCCCCCTAAACCCCCGAACCCTGGACCCTCAGGGACTGAGCTGAGGTCACCTGCTAAACGGCTTGACATGTAAATGGAACAGCACTTGAAAAATATGATTTTCATTTGAAGGTATGTATACTTTTTACTCTCTGATTTCAATGTATTGTTGGAAGAATACATTTATAAATAGACTGCTTTCATGTGTTTTATTCCCCATCTTTAATATTTTCATTGTATGCATTTGTTCCGACGTCTGGACGCACACGTGCCGTCCTCTTTGTTTGCCGTTTTTAACATCTCACTGGTCATCTCGTTTTTATGGTCACAGAGCAATGTCTTGTGGGTAAATCCCTTTGGCAAAGTCAGCATATAATGCTGATCTATGGGAAGGGTTCACAAAAGGCCCAAAATGTCTGCCAGAGAGCCTCGAACACCCAGGCGGCATGTAACTTATTTAATTTGATTTTATCTGATTGTTTCTCTTTCTTTTTTTGTCTGGTTTTGTTCTTTTCTGTCATTGTAAAGCGTCTTCCTGAAGAAGCACAATAAAAAACAAAAGTATTATTATTATGGTTATAATCAGGGTGGCATTTGGGCTGATGCGTCTTTAGAGGAGGAGGATAGAACCGCCACAAACAGACGTTGACTAAGGAGTCCTGCGCCACTTAGATGACAGCAAATCCAGGCCTATAATAAATGATTGAGCGGTTAAAAAGCTAAATATAACCGAATGACAACATTTAACGACTGTCGTGCATCATAATTCTCTGGTTATTATTTGCTGTCTGCTCATGAATTCTCCTTCACATCATGTAGTTTTCCCTTAAGGTCAAATAAAAGTAGTTAGAGATGTTAGAGGTCATTTTTTAGAGTGTAGATGTCGGCAAAGCTCACGACACAAAAGGTTTTAGAAACAAGCAGTAAAATCTTAAAGTTCCAAAAAGTCACGAGGAACCAGTTAAAGGGCAGCGGGGATCGGCGCGATGTGGTCACTTCTCTTTGAGCGTTTCCTCTGCTGACACGAGGGAAAGGCGCCGTCTGGAGGAGATAACGGCGTGAGCGACTCTCTCGGTCTGCAGGCGAGAGGAGGCACCGGATTCTGCTGCGCCGGCTCATTTGAGTAAATCAATTTCCAAATGCAATGAAGCTCAGAGGGATCCTCCTCTGCCGCTCCCGCTGTCCGCACGGACACGAGAGCAGGATGAATGATGTCACAGTCGCAACGCAGCAAGCAGAGCAACAATAGAACAACTACTGCTGCGTAATAATTACAGCAGCAGCGGATGTTGGTGCACAACTGGACACCCAGGATCCAGGTGTTGTGCTGGACGTGATTACATAAAGCTCCCAGACTGTTGAGGAATGACTGTGTGTGTGTGCAGTATTTACACATGCACGTTCATAGATACACAAGTAGTCATCGGCATGTCAACAACTACCATTTAATTCAATGTGTCTACACGTTCGAATAGTACTGTTTACTAACATTATCTTTTGTGATTTCACTATATATAAAATGAAATCACAAAAGCGAGATACATAAGAGCAAAGCCTGAGCGCTTTCTCCTTGTGCTCAGTGAACCAGTTCACGCCGGATGAGTAATCTGAGCAGTGAACTAATCAGCTGCAGTCCATTCGACTGTGAAGCGAATCAGATCTCAGATGCCATGTGACGACCTTTCCATTCAATAGGGCTGCGTTCGATCAATCCCCCCCCCCCTCCCCGCAGGAGTGACTGGCTCTGTCCTCCGTGTCCCCCCCCCCCAGACGCAGAGGACGGGGACGTGGTGGAGGTGGAGCGGATGCTGAGGCTGGCAGAGCAGTGTCTGGAGCGATCCAAGGCCTTTGTGGGGAGGAGAGGCGAGCCCCCCGACCTCCTTGACGCCTCCGCCTCCCGTTCACGTTCACCTGGCCAATCGCAGCGGAGCCCCCCGCGACCGGCCGCCGTTGCGGCAAACGCCGGTGAGTGCGTCCAGTCGGGAGCACGCGCCGCTGTTTAGTCACTGCTAGCTTTTGAGCCCGCCCCCGGCACGTGATTCGGTGCTCTGTCCAATCACCGCTCCCTCCCCCCCGTTCTCTGTTTTCACCTCTTCTCTCACAGCCCCTCTGTTTGATTCTCCCGGTGAAGCGGCCGGTCACCGCGGGGTGCCGTCGGATGGCGATGGGGACGTCTCCCCCTTCCTGCCCCCTGAAGTCTTCCAGAGACTACAAACCGTGGAGTCACGGGACGCGAGCAAAAAGTAGGAGCTGGTTTTCAATCGAAGAGAGAAAATATTGCACCATTAGGTGACAGAAGTGCTCTGAAAAGTGGACAACGCGTCAGGGACAAGAGAAGCTCCGCTTCACCTTCCTGCACGTTTCAACCCCCGACTGCTCTACACTTTAGACCCGTGATGGTTTTAAATGTGTCGCTCCCTCTCTGCGTCGTCTTTGCAATCAACTATTTCTGAGGATACTTTTAGTACGTTTATTCAGAAGTGACATGAACAGAATCTTGTCGCTGCCACATGTGGCAGCTGTTGGTGGTTTTATGAGCTTTTTTTTATGACAATGTTGTCCAAGTGGATTAGAGAATATCAGGGAAATCAGCAGTGAAAGCCGCTAAAGAACAATGACACCATCATGAGATTGTTTTATTTGCCTATGACACACCCTTTAAGTGACACGTTTGTTTGTGTGTGTGTGTGTGTGTGTGTGTGTGTGTGTGTGTGTGTGTGTGTGCACGCCGCAGACAGCTGACCCCCATTGAAGAAGCATCACGTTTGAACCAGAAGTTGAAAGCCAACTATGAAGCTCGTCTGGCGAGGCTCACACCTGGTCAGGCCTACCAGAAGACGTCTTTGGTATGTGTGTGTGTGTGTCTCTGTGTGTGGAATTAAAAGGGCAAAGAGGTTTGTGCCATTTCAGAGGTTTCCCACAATGCAACCTCCTTTTATACGAATGTGGATGTCATAACCAGACGAAGGGTGTGTGGGCTCTCAGTATTCCACAGACATCGCAGAGCGGTGAACCCGCGAGGAAACATGTGACTACGATGTGTTTACCAGCAACTTCAGGGTTTCATCAGTCGCACGATTGCAACACTGCTGACTGATCATGGATCCATCCATTGATCGCTGCATCATCAATATTTTACGTGCAACTTTTTGTTTTCTATATTGATGGATCCTAACGACAATTGGATGGACTGCCAGTGTATTTTTTGACATTTTTAGGATTAAACCTATTGACTTTTTCTCTACTGTCACCAGACGGTCAAAGTTCAAACTTATCCACATGTGTATCTCAACATAGACTGGGGGGGGGTGTTTTTTTTGTGATTGTTGGTGACTTCTTCAGTTTTCCTTTAGCGTCACCATGGGGTTGAGATTTGTAGTTTTGAGGGAAAGATCTAAAAAAAAAAAAAAACTATGAAAGAACAGTATCTCTGAAATTGGTTCAGTGGTTGGAAACAGAAGAATCAACTACGTTAAAACATGTATAAAAACTAACTGACTCAATGTTGGATGAAGATGACTTGGCCTCCGCATCCACGCGATGTATTGGACGCATGTTTCTTTCCATTAGTTGTCTCTGCGACTTCCTGCGTGTACCTTTTTATTTTGGAATTTGTCGGCGGTACTTCCGGTCCGCTGTCAGTCTTCGCGGGCTCGCGCGTCGCTCCGATGGCGGACGCCTGAGTGACGCCGCGGTGTGCTGAGGGGGACACTTCTGTCCTCGCGAGGTCTTTTAACGCAAGATAACGCAAACGCCTGAAAAGCAGATATTTCTCCAACGCCGCCGGCGTTTGTCTCTTCGGTCCTTAGCTGCCTCCAAGTCAGATAACAAGATGGTGAGCGGACAGACACGACGTTTAACCTGTAGCGAGAGACGTTTTGTTAGCCGACGCTAACTGCAACGGCTTCACACGCTAGCTAATTCAAAGTCAAATCTCCATTCTGAGTTCTGTCGGGAGGTTTTTTTTTATTTTTATTTTTTAAATAACGTTAACTTGTCATTCAGATACGGAAAATGTTTCAGCGCCAAGTGGAGCACCGTGCTTCCTGGAGAACGCTGAAGAGCTTCGTGAAGGTAAAGTCACGCGCCTGTGAATCCACGCCGCGAGCTGTCAGCGTTAGCTGTTAGCTGTTAGCTGACGTTAGCGCTCGCGGGCTCGTCGCGCCTGCGCAGTCACCGGCGAGAAGCAGCCGACGTGTTGGTAATGGTACAAACCACGAGGAAGGATTTCCATTTATTTACAGCATGGAACGCATTTGGGTTTTAAGATTCTTAAAAATCACGAGGCGCGTCCCAAAATAATAATACAAATCCGACCTTTCTAACCCGGCGTTAGCTTTTCTAAACAATGGAAAACCTTCTCAGCTCCACTGAGCATTTTTTATTAAATTTTGCATTACTACGCTGTTATTTTGCTCTTTTAAATGAAACTGTTGGACGGGATGGGGTTTTCTTTATGGCCGTGTGAGCACAGAGTGGCAGCTGTCACTTCTGACCGTCTTCCTGTGCGGGTTGATTGTGTAAGTTTGGCCTTCGGTGTTTGCGTTGTCCTTATTGTTGCTGTGCAGGTCGTAACATTGTGATTGTGTTTCAGTGACTTTAATAACCAATGGGAACTGGGGAGGCCCACGACATAATGGCACATATTTATGGACAATATGCTTATTTGCCAACAATTAACATATTTATAACCTCTCTTTTTCCTTTGGTATATTGAATTGTATGTATGTTAATTAATTTCCTCTCCCATCCAATGCAGACGCTGTCGCTCCAGCGACAGATGATGGAGAACCTGATCATAGCCAAAGCCAGACAGGATGCTGTATCCTTTTGTTTTCACTAATCTCTACGTCTATCTATAAGGCAGTGTTTGATGTTTTATTCACACAACCTTTCCCAGCTCTGAAATCCCCTTTATATCAACTTGGTGGAGGGACGGACATACAGCAAACTGACCCGAAGTGTGTTGCACGTTAAAGGAATCTTTCTTGTCACAAAGTGCAAAAAACAAGAATAGTGTTCAAAAATGGAATAAAGTATCCAGTGTATTGTATATTAAATAAAGTGCGGAAAGGATGTGCAAAGCTTGTCCTTGGAGTGCAGGTTGGAGCCGGTCAGGCTGGACTTTATTGATGAGCCCGACTGCTGACGGGAAGCGGTTTGTGGGGCCGGAGGTCTTGGTCTTGATGGATTGCAGCCTCCTGCCAGAGGGAAGGTGTTCAAACACATTTAACAGGTGCTGTCATTGCAAACAGCTGAACACAATACATTTAAATGATTGACTCTGGAATACTGAGATATATATATATATATATATATATATATAACTATGAGCTAGTCAGTATAAGGACCACAATGCTTGGAGTTTCCTTAATGTTTGCTGGGAAATTAGCTCCAGCGGAAGATGGAGGAGAGAAGACTGAGGCTACAGGAGGAGGCCAACAGGTACGCTGCCATTCTCAGACAAA